GAATCGTATTCGCATGGATTCATGGCGCAATCCATCAATTTCGCGTGAGGACCCCATGAATTGCGCCATGAATCCATGCGAAATACGATCCCGGGGTCCAGTTTCGAGGGCAATATCTTGCCATTAGAGCACTACCTGAGCTGCCAGTTGGGCAATGGCTTAGTTAGGCCCATAATCACTATCCAGGTGAGATCCCCATATGTCCAGGTTTGGACGCTACCTTCAACTTCTTTGCTCTTTTGATTTCTTTTGTTAGGCTCAAATGTGTCTTTTGTAGCTTTTCTATTAATACCATTAGCAACTCTTTGAAAACGTATGCTTACATAAGAGTATCTCTCCTGCTCAGTGAATGCAATTTGGAACAGTGCATGAAGAGATATTTCTGGGACCCACGTCTGTATGTAGTGACTGGCCATTTCAAAACTCTCAGTCTACTTCTTCATGATTTTTTTCAGCTAGAATGATGGATATCTTATGACAAAAAATGATTCATAATTTTTGTAGCCTATTTGGATGGGGTGCATAGCAAGTGGTACTCGGGCAGCCGACTGATAACAAAGCCAGCCGCCGGGGCTGTCGGCAAAGGCGCTGCAGATGGTACAGTAACTACTCTCGTCGTTTGAAACCCTTGCAGAGATCCTCGCACCTCTTGCGCTGAGGTGCGATGTCAGCCTCGGGGATAGCGTGATATCGCTTATATATTAGAATGAACAGTAGAAAATGGGACATCTGGAGAATAAGTCGACAATTTCTCAAGAAAGAAAATTGATTCAACTTTCCAGTTTCGATAGATATTAGAATATATTGTTCTATTTCAAACTACACACATATAAGGTCATCAGCATACTTAAAGGAAGCGTCCAGTCAAGTCTGAACACATGGGGATCTCGCGCGGCCAGTATTTTTGGGACCCTTATTAAGGCATTGCCCAACCGACAGCTCAGGTAGTGCTCTAACGGCTGAGTTATTCCCTCAAAACTGGATCCCAGGATCGTATTTCGCATGGATTCATGGCGCAACGCGTTGGTCTCGCCCAAAACTGCCAGAATCATGCGAATACGATCCTGGGGTCCAGTTTGGAGACGTATAGCTGGCCGTTAGTGAGTCACTTACGTTGCCGCTTGGGCAGTGCCTTAGTTAGGGCCCCAAAGTTACTTTCCACGTAAAATCGCCATGGGTCCAGATCTGCCTGGACCCTGCCTTCAATAGTTTTTATACTTGCTGGATGCAATGTTAGTCACCTATCCAGTTATCTGGCTACCATCTGATAAAGCTCTTTACGCTATATTCATACATATGCGGTTGCCGAAATATAGTTTAAAACATGATTTTTTGGCGCTTATTGCGCCAAAAAATCGCGATGTTAACTGCTTCATGACTTTACGGTGTAGCAGTGCAAGAATGAGAGTGTTCAGAAACCCTGTTCGAGTTCTTCACGACGCCACGCGCAGAGTTGTGGGAGAGGAACGTTAACGCGTTGACAGAATAATGGCGAAGTTCGCTTATGTAAGGGATGTTCAAGCTGCAGCATACTTGTTGTTGATCGGAAACAAAAAATCCCATGTAATAAAAATAGCTGTCCCATCTTTTGTCGTTTACCCTAATATGTAAACTTTTGAAAAGCAAATAAGTTTATAATCTCGGGAAACATGCGAATAAACAAGTATGCAGAGAAGAGCTTTTTAGAGGAGAATAATCACGAAATTTCTTTTCTTCTCGCTTTTAACGTCGGAGAAGGAGCTGAACAGTTCTAGGAAGATGTTATGGAGACAACATAAAAGTCTTTCAAAATTTGTATTCTATAACCAATTAGCGTTCAACGAGTTAATTAAAGCAGTTCAGATAGATTGAGTAGGTCAATAATGAAAGGTGAAAATATGCCACATATGTTGATATAAAAGTGAACAGCATAGATTACCAAAAAAAGTCTTATTCTAGTCTATACAGTTCTCAAGAAGAGCCTCAGGTTCGTGCTTAAAGAAAAATTCATCACTTCTTCATGTGTTTTGAGAAAATGAGAATACATTCCAAAAAAAACAATTTGAAACCCAAACGTTAAAGTAAAAAATAATCCAAAACTGAAAGGAACCAACCCTAATATTTCTTCCCACTTTTCCTGTTGATCTCATTTACTCACTTTCGTAAGCTTTTCATTTATATCGAGGATGATATAGAAAGATATAGACATTGATCACAATATCCCTGAGGCTGATATCGCACCTCAGCGCGACGAGATGCGAGGAAACCTCTCGATTTTAGACGATGAGCGTAATTACTTACCATATTCAGCTGCTTCGAAGCTGATTCAGCGACTGGCTGCGGCAGCAGTCGATTGCCTGGGTACCACTTGCACGCCTCCCATCTAGAAATCTGCTCATCACAAAGCATAGTGGAGGTGAATAATTATACAATTTCTATTAAAAGTTCTTGATGGATCAAAAGTTTATTATACATTTTAGAGCTCTCAGACCGGACAGGGCATAGAGTTTTGCGTACAAAATTCTACTACATCAGCATTAGACAACAGTTTGCAGCCGAAATCACTGCTGCTTTCAGAGTGGTTTTTCGAACTCGGTTTCGTCATCCCGGATTCCACGAATAAATGGCAAACACTGATCGAAGCAGCACCTTAATCACAAATGTTGCCGGCATCCTTGCTCAGGTTGAAAGCTCGCAATTTCTAACTTGTGCCATACAAATAACTCTTTTAGTGGCAACGTGGTGGTCGAAACGCTTTTCTACGATGATGATCTCCTCGTCAGCACTTCGAAAGTTCGCCTTTTTATAAATGACAAAAACTGCTGCAACACTACACTTCTTGCATATCATTGTGTCTTATCAAGCCTCGGCGCATATAAAAGCGAAGGTCAAAGTGTTTAGTACATCATTTCATTCTTCGATGCAGACCATGAACTGTATACATTTGAAATATGGCTTGATAGAGTTGCTAAAAGTTGGTATATTATAGGTCCGCGACAAATGAAACTACACGTGCATGTCATGATGTTATGATGAAAGTCTCCCGTACGATAGAACACGAGAGGCTTTATTTTTGTGCGGAATATGCAACGTCAAAACTAAGGTCCAGATGTTCTTTGGAAGCTATGTCAGTGATCTGAGGCACTATATACCAAGCGGTCCAATCTCCAGATCGAGTGCTCCTCATTGTTGAGGAAGCGCACTCGATCGGCTCCCCGTCCCCTTTTCTGATCAGTGATGTATCAAAGGCAGTGTAAGCTGGTAACTGGTAAGTGTAAATCAGGCAAACTTGGGTCCATGAGTCTTTTGCCCGAAAACGATAAGGGGGTTCTAGCTGGCACTGCCCAGACGACAGCGCAGGTGACTCATTCAAGCTGAGAAATCCGTTCCCCAAACACTCCTCGCCTACGCCGGACCGTAATTCTCGAGTGACTTAGGATGGGTCCAAGCGAGAATGTAGTGTTGTTGTGATCGAAGTCGTTTTCGGGTTACGGTCGCGGCACAGGCTGCAAGGGTTTGGGGATGGATTTCTCAGCTCTGAATGAATTATTTGCGCTGCGTTTTGGGCTATGCATTGATTAAAACGCAGTCATCAGTTTTCAGGCGAAAAACACATGCGCTCAGAAATGCCTGGACACTGCCTTCAACATACCGATCTCAAAACTGATCAAGTAGAGATATAGGCGGCACAACTAATCCCTAATATTGCATCTAATCCAACCTACCTATTAGCTACCCGTGGGTCCTTAACAGGTGGTAAGTTTACGTATGCGTGTATGTGTATGAGTTTATGCGTTAGATAATTTCTACATGTATTTCTTGTAGTATCAAGACCACATAATAACGGATTAAGGGTTGTTTACGTATTTTTGTGTGAATGTGTCCGTCTGCTACGAAATTCATAGACAACCAACGTCCTGCGCCCAAATTTTGCTTAGTGCATGCTAACAGCGTGAATGTCCAGTATGCAAAAACACAAGCGGATCCGCAGAGTGGATCCCTCGAAAAGTGCGCTTCAAACGGATCCTCTTAACTTCTGGCCAGCAAAATTAGGCCTTTACCACCACTTTTTGCGAAGTCATGCATGTGTTTGATAAGCTAATGCGGAAGCCACAGACTCAAGCCCCTAAAATTAGATTAAAGTTAATTACTTTACGAAAATGGTGCCAAGAACCATCAGTTGCGTAAATGTTCAATTTGCCAACATTTCACCTGATCATATGATAAGATTTTTGCTCGGAGATGTAGCCCAAGGTGACTATTATCCATATGGCGAGTATCAAGCCATAAAAGGTCCAAAAACAAATTCAATTTGCATTCATTCTTCTGGGAGAAGTTTCATTCACGCGAAAATACCGATCTCACAGGAAAAGCTCTGAGAATGAGTAGTTGTTTACAAATCATTCGTGATAGCCGGCATAGTGCGGTGAGCTTTAATGTCATTTATGCCGGAATGAGTAAGGCTGCATTCATACTGTTTACGAAATCCGGGAACAGTCCCAGAACAACGCTCAGTTCGAGCATTGTGCTGGAACTGTTGCCGGATTTCGTAATCAGTATGAACGCAGCCTAAGACATACAGAAAGTAGGGCGCACTGGCCCTACTTTCTGTATGTCATACTGGTACATTGTAGGCCCTACTTTCTGTATGTCTTACTGGTACATTGTATGACAGAAGTCTTGTGCAGCGGCAAAGGAGTAAACGGCAAGGAAAGATTCTCACTTTTTTCAAATTGTGTTATGCTTTGCAAGAATGTAGTTGAGCTGTAAACTTTCAACTTTTACTGCAATAAATTTAATGCGGCAGCAACACAATAACAAGCATTTTTGCTCTTTTATGGCATCTCTCTGATTTCGGTAAGAAAACGTGCATGTTTGTGATTCGGCTAATCAGCTGTTTTACATAGAAAAATGCAAGTAATGATTTATAACTTTGTAAAAAACGAATGTCAACAGAGGAGACTACAGCTAAGAAGATTACAGCATTGATGTGACTACACGGTAGCAATCTATAGTCACTAACAATTCTGTCCTTTTGCATCCTTGAAGTGTTGAAAAACGCCTATAATTCGGCTATTAATGTTGATCTTGTAATTTTGCCTTTATGAAACAGCAAAAAACTGCTATTAAACGTAAAACAAGGATCCATTTGATGTTATTTCACGTCTACCAAAGAGGGCAACGCTCGGTGGGGTTCATGGCACTGCCTACATCACAGTTGAAGGCAGCTGCAAATTCAGGCTGATTAGCCAACACTTGGTTGACGCTGAAAGGTATATAAATCCGCGTAGTGATGCTAACGGCTTCGCTTACCGGTATCTATTTGGGGAATGCACATCCATGAAAATTTCGAGTTTCAGTGTCGAAATCGTTGAATGCTCGCACCAGATCTCAAGCGTGATCGTTGCCTCATTTTCTTACTCGTATATCGCATAGCGTTACCGTAGCCCAGCCCAAGAAAAACATCTGATTGTTGTCGAATTGTTCAAGACCTTTGATCCTGTCTTCTTCACCACCATGCTTTTGCAGATAAGTTTTGTAAGCCCAAACAAACGCATTTCATGCATGCTTACTAAGTTAGATTGAGAGAGTTACCCCATACGCTAGCTTCACTCCTCCGTTGTCAGCAATATTTTCTCCCAGAGTGGACTTACCATCAATTTTGAGATCATTTTTTGGTAGTTCATCAATTTCGAGACCAGTTCCTGGTATCTTAATTCAATTGTTAATGCTAAAAGAACCCTTCAGTAAGCTCGCTCACCTCAATCTTTCCGTACTGGTCGACGAGACATTGAGCTCGCTGCATATATTTTTCTTTTGAGTCTTCACTCCACCATTTGCGATCTTTGCCATAAGCATCATAGAAACTTCCTATGATAATAGACCAAGAAACTTTGAAGCGAAACAAAGAGACTAAGTGTATGGATTTTTAATCGCTAGCACAAAACCTGATTACCTTTATTATCAAAGCCGTGTGTCATTTCGTGCCCGATGACAGCTCCAATACCTCCATAGTTTAACGCTCTAAAAGCAGAGCAGGCTTAGTTTACGAGGAAGCTATACATATGCGAAGTATATTTTAATGCTGTGTTATATTGGTTTCAATCAATAGTTCTTTCACCCTTTTAAACACAATTTCGCAGTTGCCCTGCAACCTTGTGCATGCGACGTAAAGGCCTTGTGAATCCTAATTGTCCACACCGTGCCTGCCAGCCAGACCCCGGCACGAGGTGGACAAATGACAATCTGAAAATCGTTTTAGGTGAAAACGCAAAGGGGATGTCGTTTTTGCGGGGTTCGGTCATGCTCTCTACGTATCTCTACATGTTATTTGCCTCAGGCGAACACTGAAGTTTGCGCGCGAACCGCGCCGTCGCTAATTGCCGCATCTGCGACTTCGTTCAACTGATGCTATTTGTAAGAACATACCTGATTAGTTCCCAATGTATGCGTAAAAATATGGCACCAAATTTGTAAGCGAATGAAGAGAGGCTAGTGTAAACAAAGCGTGAAAAATTACCCTAATTTCACGCGTACAAGGCGCGGGGTGGTCCTGGCTTTCATCGAGCTGCTCAGCCGCCCCAACGTGTTTTAAGAAGCGATCCTTATGCCGCACGATTCGTCAGGCAAAACGCAGCACGGTATGGGGTTCCTTTGGTTGCGAAGTCCTTTGCCGTGTTCGGGCTGGTCGATGAAAGCTAGGACCACCTCGCGCCTTGTACGCGTGAAATTAGGGTAAAACTTATGTGAATGGAAGCTGTAATAAGCATGTTTTCCACGAATTTTGTATAACTGGTAAATAAAGATGTCAATTCAAATGGCTCATTGGCACAGACGACGATATGGTATGAGACTTAATACGTACATGGACACAAGCCTGCAGGGGTTAACTAAGAAGTTTCATTGAAAAATTATGTAACTGAAGGTTGTGGTAAGCTTTTTTAAAAATTTTCCCCTACTAAAAAATGGAAATATGTCTCGTTTGCAACGCAGAGATGACGAAATCGCACAAGATTTGGTGTATACGCTCATTGGGACTAAGAAACAAAGCATGGAGAATTATGAAAAATTTACGTAAATGAAGAGCGTGCCTGCCCAACTTTTTTCCGAATTACTTAGGCAATTGTCTACCTAATGCCCACCTGAAGAAGGCAAAACTTCCATTTCACAAAAGTTTTTGAGAGTTTCTACATAAATCTGTTCTACACCTGAAGTTCAATATATACTAACATGTTGGTTTCAAAACTCCTCCTCTCCTCCTTGTTAGGATCAAAAATAGCGACGACGCTTTTTCTTTGCAGGAAGAAAGCGCACTCCAATCGACAACCTACGCAGCTGGCGGGCTCAAGTGGGAAATCGTAGCAATCTCAAGTGGGAAATCGTAGCTATAGTAGCAAAGGCGAAGTCGTTTTACTGATGTCCATTTGTCCCCTCTTGCTGGGTCCCGCTGCCAGCAGGAGCGAGTGGGCGAGCGCGAGGAACTGTAGACGCACTATATTAGGTTGTTGCATAAGTTCTGTCCAATTTGAATTTTTTGAGTTCAAAATGTCATAACTTCTTTCAGAGTCAACTTTTCTCCAAGATCTTAGTTTCTATGTGTTGAGCAGTTCCTTGGCTATGGAACGCATATTAAGACTTGCGCAAATCCTTGTTGAGGAAGAAGCAAGAACTCAAGAACTTCACAGCGTTTTTCTGCAAACATGTCTTTTTTGACATGGTAATGCTCCCTTATGAGAATTGATAGCCATCTTTTCTAACAATGGATGGATAGAGAAATTTTCGTGATTATTATGCAACATAAAAGAGCCCATAGGGTCTGCGTTGCCGAGAAATTTTTTTGACCGAGCAAAAAATTAGCCACTTTTTGACCTCGCTTCAGCACATATGTGCATGCCTATTTACGAATTATGAAAATTTTACAACTGACTTGAGCGCCGAAAAGGAACTGGTGGATGGGCCCTGTTAGCTCTTGCTTTGCCCTAGCACCTCCAACTTTGAGCTTATCGATTACTTCTATTCGCAGAAAGTTATTGCTTGTAAAACATCTATACCAGAGATCAATGTTCGATGATAAATTTTACTAGCAAGACGTTCTCTTCATGGAACCGAACTTCTGCATATACTAGCATTCTATACCCTTATTCCTCAGTCAATGAAAGATCTTGACTTGAAGCTCGCATTGTGGAGATTTCCTCGCAAGAACATATTTCTAGGGTGAGAACGTACCACGGCCACTTAGAGATTTTAGGCCTGAAATCTCCGTACACTAAGAAATTTATTGAAATCTGATATGCGTTAGAAAGCGCAAGGAAAGCACTTTTGAATGATACCAACAGTATTGCATAAGATTTGAAATTCTCTTAGAACAGCTGCTTCAAACATGAGGCAAATAATCGGACAGAACTTATGCAACAACCTAATATTTCAATCAGTTTTCGTCAATCTTCTGTTGTTTTCAACGTTGTAAGGTGATCGCTCATAGAATATGCAATTCCGAAAATGTTTTTGCAGCAATTCGGTGATCGCGAGACTCTGGGGAAGGTGCGACAATTCCCGATTTCCTCGAAATTACATGAATTACTCAAATCAATCAGCGCTATACTTCCTACGGAATTTATTTATCCTAAATTCGAAGAAGATTGCGCTCAGCTTGTCAAGACAAATCTTTTAATATACATCATGTCCTCAAAATTCCGTCTTCAGTTCTCTCAAATTTTTCTGCTCATGCCTTTTTGCAAGAATCACTCAGCGCACATCATACTTGAGAGAATCCGGTAAGCACAATCAACTAGTGCTGGGTAAAAAACAGCATTTCTCGAGAACTGGGGCATCTATAAAAAATCCAAATACACGGTCGTACTTCTATATGTATGAGCTATATGATCACATGCGTGGGAGGTGCTCAGGACGTCTAGGGCGGAGTTTGCCATTTTGCCTCATTCATTTTTTTCTTTAATTCTAGTCATGGAAAAAATTCGGAAAGTGTGCAATCGAATGTGCGATGTGTCAAGCATATGCTAGAATAAATGGGGAATTTTTTGGGTACTTTGGAGTGGAGATACGATTTACGACAGAAAAATTCGTTTTTGACTACTGTTAGATTTCAGTTCAAAACTTCACGTGGATATGATTTGGGCAGACTTTTGAAAGCCATCTTGTAGAGCTTACTTTGCCCTGTTCAATGATTATTCAAGCCACACCAGATGAAGGAAAGGTGCGAAAAGACGGCGGTTGCAGGAAAACGGTAAAAAATTATGAGACAACTTAGTATATATAGAAAGATGGTGGTTAGAAAGATCTGAACTCTGGCCACGAAGATGCTTCAGCATTCAACTAAGTAAGTTGCAAAAGCCCACACAGTTACCATATCATATAGGCAGGCAGGCAAGTCCTCTTACAGATACGCGAAAGATGTAGGCAGACTTGCGAACGTTCGTGGCTTACGGGAAAAGGATACTTGGTGACCGTAACCGTTCGTGATGATTTGTATATCAGAAAATGCGCCTTTTGATGCTGGTTCGAATACAGTCTTCCATACCTGCGAAGATAACCTGGATGGAGTTATGATTATTTTTTCATAATAAAATGGTGCTACTGGGGAGGGTCAAAATCATCAAGAGAAAGTTTTTCCTTTTCAAATGCTCGATACGATTTTAAGATATAAATACAATGGTACTCCTTTTGAAATTTTTTCCAGTAGCTTAAAACGGCAATTTAAAACAAATTTGGTGATTTCAACTATCCAAAGGTACGCGAATTTTTTATAAAAAAAAGTTCATAACTTCTCTCAAAAATTGTTTCGCGGATGCTGAGCACAGGTTTGGAATCAGCGTTTCGAGGTGCATCTTACATGTACATCGCAATCCAAATGGCTACGATCATCGTGCATCCTTTCCTTGTTAGTCACCGCTACCTCACGATATCTGTGCCAGAACTACTCTATACTCAACGGAGACCACGATTTTCGTAAATAGCCTGTCCGGAAACCTCTATAAACGAAGTTTTCCTTCATCCCAGGATCATAACATCATAACCCCAACTTCTTGGAAAACTTGCTCATAAAGTTTATCATCTGCTGCTTACGAAAATCAAATTTGTTTAGCAAGATAGCTTCGTATAGGGTTAATGGTGAGTAGAATTTGAAGCGTATTTTTTCCAAAATTTACCATGTTTATCAGAAAAAGTTTCTGGCTACTTTTCAGCCCTCGATGATTTGCGAAGCAGCACTGTTGCAAGCAGTAATCAATTGCTTACCGAAATCTTCTATGTGTGAAGTGCGCTGCATGACACTCTTGCGAGGAGACGTCCGCAGATAATTTGAGGAAATTGTAAACGGATTGTCGAGGATAAGCTGTATACCGGAAGATTTGCCTTAATGAGCTATGCACAATGCTTTTTTCGGATTTAGAAACGGTGAATATTTCGCATGTAAAGCGTGATCTCGCAGTTTTCAAGATCTAGTGTCATGCGTTCGTTGAAATGTTGCGCGATCACCAATCATCAAAGTGCCCAAGGTGTCGCGGAACTCTCGGATTGCACATATTGTGAGCAGTGTTGTATGTTTTAACAAAAACTTCCTCTTAAATTTTGAAAGAGCATGTCTGAAAGGCGCTCACGTCGCTTTAACAAGCCGATAGCACCTCGCTGCTGCTCGGAGCTACGCTTGGGCGTTTGTGATTTACAAGCCTGTATGCGACTCGCAGCCTTCGTTTTATATTCTCTACTAGACGGCGCCCCCGGTCTCGCCCGGGAATTGGGCAACTTAACCCCAAACGCGTTGAAACTTACTGCCCTTCTCCAAATTGCCACGAAATGTGACGTCTTCCTTGCTGACGTGAAACATCGGATCCTTGTGGCGGGAAAATGTAAATGAACTTCAACGCCCAACTTACATGATGTGAGGAAATGATTCAACAATGGTTGGTGAACCCTCGATGTAAGTAACAAATCAATAAATCGATTGAAGGTCCCAGTGAATCGTCTCAAAAAGTACTTATCTTCTGCGCCTGGCCTCGTTTACAGGGGAGCAAAATTCAGCCTCATTGGTTCACAAACAAAGGAGTCTATAAACCACATACTTACATACGAACAAATTTACAGTTCAAGATCGATATCTTGTTTCAACCTTCTATGTATACGTGGCCCTATTCGAACTTCACAATGTAATGGCTCAAGTTCATTTATAGTTTTAAATATGAAATTTCTTCAACATGCTCATTATGCATTACTTACTTTACGGAATATGATTTCGCTTTCAATGACGGCGAAAAGGAGATTCTTGCGTGTAAATATAAGCTCTAAAACTTTAAAGGAGCACGCTTATAATATACCATCTCAGACAATCACAGGCTCTCAGCCGGCAGCCACAAAGCCACCGCGAAAACCCACCAAAAGCGCGGTGGCCTCATCGCCTCACTGTCGCTTCCCGCTGAGAACTGGCAGCGAGCGGGCTGCTATAAAGCCTTCAGCGCGAAGCGAAAGCGACGGTTTCGCTTCGCGCTGAAGGCTTTATAGCAGCCCGCTCGCTGCCAGTTCTCAGCGGGAAGCGACAGTGAGGCGATGAGGCCACCGCGCTTTTGGTGGGTTTTCGCGGTGGCTTTGTGGCTGCCGGCTGAGAGCCTGTGATTGTCTGAGATGTTCGCTACCTTAAATTGCTGTCAAGAGCACTTTTTGTTGGGTAGTGGATGTGGATGAAGTGTTCTTTCCCGCAAAAGTTTTTTATGAGCATCTATCTCAGCATTTTATCTTAGTATTAGGTTGTAACAAAATAAATGCAGGTTTTTCAAATTTTGAGTTTGGATTACTATAACTTTTGACAAAAATAGTCTATCCGTTTTCAATACGTTTTGCTGCAACCAGCAAACCTTTGGCAGTTCAACACGCACTACCATCGTTGTAGCCTTACTGAGAAAAATTTCATAGCCCGAAGACTGTCAAAGGTTTTCTGAGAAACCTTCAGTTTGAGAGACCACAACTCACTATAAAATGTAGTAGAATGGTATAAACTTCATTCATTGTGCAGATAATAGTCGATTGCGCAGCAGCGTTAAAGTTGGTTTTCACGAAAAAAATTTTGCTAAAAAATATTGCAAAAAATTTGTAATCACTCATACTTCATAAGTGCTCTCAAAAGACGAAAAGATGCTTTATTTGCTGTTATTTGAATTTTCTCACCGCTGAAGAAAACAACAGCTCTCGGATTTTTGCTCCCATGTGTAGTAAGTCTATTCTTTCTGCGCACGCGAGAGCTCCGCAGTTGCTTTGCATTTAGGAATTTTATACGCCGCAGAATGATAGCATCGCTTGTTTGGGTTTGGAATAAAATTTCTGAGTCCACAAACTTTCGAGAAATTTGCTCCAATATGCATTTTGTAGCACAGGTTACATAAAAACACTACGCCAGTTTGCGAAAAATTTCGTCTTTTCGCGATGGATTTAGAGCAAAGGGTGTAAACGGAAAAAATTTTGAGGTTTAGTCTCTTGATCTCAAAAGCACGTGACTTCAAAATGAATACAGTCCTCCTGAAACGAAAGCGTGCCTAGGAAACTAGAAGAAGAGTGCTTTCAGTAGGTATGCATAGTTTTCTAAAACAATGGAATTTTGTTTTGAACCAACACTTTGAAAAAGAGGTGTGAAACCTGCATTAACTCCTTACAACCAGGGTCAAGAGTGTGATGCGACTGTCGCAACGGGGAGTCGTAAAGAGGCCACCGGCGGTGAGGGGGGGGGGGGCGTAAGAGAGGGTGATCCAAATTAGAAATGTGTGGAATGTAGGAAATAAGCCTCTCACAAGGAAAGGATGGTTGGTCGAAGTGGCCTTTTGAGATGAGTTGTATAACATGCTAGAGAATATAAAACGCTGATTCCAAATCTGTCTTCCTTATCTGCGGTGCGTTTCTGCACGAGAAGCTATGAGCGTTTATTGGAGAAAAAATCAAGTGTGCAAATAATACAAAAACAGTAGTAACATTTTTCATAGCGCTTAAATGGACCAGTGACAATATTTTCAGTACTCTATACAATAAATACTCTTAGGTGAGATATATCTGCACTCCGGCTGTCGCATTCAAGCGCTGGGAAAACTTTAGCAACTTTTTTATCCCAGAAAAACATTCATTTTTTTGCACCTTCGAACGCTCATAACTCCTCGTCCAGGAAAGCGCCGCAGATAAGGAGAACAGATTTGGAACCAACATTTTACGCCCTCCAACATGGTATACACATTGTCGCAAAAGGCCACTTCGACTGAGCATCCATCCCTTGTCAGTCGCAAACATTCCCTGCTCGTTAATAAGCAGCCTTTTTCTCTCTGCAAAAAGGTGTCGCAGATGGGGATCAAACTTGCTGGCCACAAGTATGCCCGAAGATTCCAAAGGCACTTTCAGAAGCTCAAACACTAGGCATGTATGTGTGACAAGCGTTAAATGTACCAATTGGCTCAAAAATCGTTCCGAAGCATCACTGTGTGGGCTCTCGACAAAAGCGCTCATCCTTACCAGCGATGACCATCAATAAATTTTGAAACTTTTTTGTTAAGTCTTTCAATGGCCCATACAGTTTACCTGTATTTTGGAGATGCTCTGCTACAGTTGTGCAAAATCTGGTTATATTTCATAGCCTGTGGATTTTTCAAAATTTTATATATGGCAACAAAAAATGAAAAGGGGGGGGGGGTCGTATCTGGGTAGCATCTAAATTTTTTCGCCGCTATGGAGGGCTGCTGGCTGCAATTTTGCTGTATCACGAGGCCATCCTCCTACTTTCTATCATAAAAAATTTTAGACTGTTTCATAACTTCTCCGGTGTGTTACAAAACTTCGAGCTCAAAAATCCTAGTTTTTGCTTTTTAGGATTGCACCTAAATTTGCGAGAGTCGCATCTAGATTTTTTCGAGCTCACTGATCCTCAGTGGCTAGAACTTTTCCCATGCATAATCTGGGCAGGCACAATACTACACAGTCTATTCATTACAGCTTATCAGTCCTTCCCTGGCCTTAGTTACGAATTTCAAAGTACCGTGCTCATGCACGTTTTTGACATCGTTCTAAAGGCTCTAAAACGGTTTTTTTGCAGAATCTGTGAAATAGATAGAAAATAAGCTTTTTAGTCGAAAACATTTTTTACGCTTTAAAGAGATCGTTTTTTCTCCTTGCAAAGAAATATTTTCACATACGGGAATAGAACACGGGACTATCAATAAAGTCTAAAACGTTCCAATCTCCAGAACCATGGTCTATATCTTTCGGTAGACTGGACTGAGAAAAGATTATGCCGAACGTTTATAAGCAGCAGAAAAGTTTATTAACCTTCACTAGAAAAGGAGTTAAAATAACTAACTATAATGATTAAAGTGAACCTTTCCGTAACGCCGAATTTTTCTTGGTTGTTATTTTTTCATTTTTTATAGGTAGAGTACAGCTTAAATACCATTCAAATCAGAATCGATTCTGCTTTGTCAGATGACGTCCTTTCCACTCATATTTTCCCAAACACAATAAGCATAGACAATTTGTAAAATTTTACTAACTCAATTTACGTAGAATTATTTGTTTTTTGGGTGGTGAAGCAGTACTTGCATTGTCTCTCAATTTGTAAGTGGTTATCTTTTTCTGAACTACAACTTTGATTGAGGTCCATTGGCAGGCATTTTTTATTGACATTCGTTTATGCATGTTACTGCAAAAGGAAGTGGGGGGGGGGGGGCTAGGCGGAGGGGGGTCGTACAGACGAGTACATCTAGGGGGGGGGGTCGCAAATGAGGGTCCCGGATCGCATCAACACGCTTAACCCTGGTTACAACCTAATACTTTGCCAGCTGAAAACCGTTTTCTGAAATGAGGTTTTTGCGCTTTACCCGATTTTTACAGTAATTAAGGTTTTTCTTGTGGTAAACTTTGTAAGCTTTGTTACTAAGACCAACCTAGGGAACGTGTGATGGAAAAAGGGAGTTTGAAGAATGGCGACCGCAATTTCTGGAATTCCAATTTTTCTATCTCAAATCAGCCTTGGGATATGGAGGCACAACGCATAGCTGCAATGAGCTTACGCAATGAGTTGCTTTCCGGAGCGTATTGTACTGTATCAACATCGGCTGGGTTGAAGGATACAATTCGATCTGAAACCATCCTTAATTGTTTGAAAAAGTCATCGATTCGCCATCCAGTTATTTTTTCCATTATTTCACTAAGCGAATCCGTGTCACGCACATCCAACTAAAAAATAAGCAAGTACGAATTAGCAAACAATCAGTGGTAGATGTCTACTTACGCTGGCGTAGTACTTGTCGAGCTCTTCAATATTTAGAGCCAATTTTGGGTAAGCTATCTCAAGCAGCATTTTATCCAACTTCTTCAAAGCTTCCTGTAGAACGATGTTCGGCAGCCTATTCTTTCCGTCTATCAACTTACAACTTTAGTTTCATCATCAATCCAGTCGATGGCGTTTAGGTTCTTGCCGAATTCTTCCTTAAGGTTTTTGGCAATCTCCAGTACGTCCTCCTTTGTAGTCTTAATTAACATAGTAAATCGCGGAATCCTTACATCGTTTTCAAACCTCATGCAATTCTTTTTTTACGTATAACGCTGTTGTTGCATAATCCATATAATGCATAGCGCTGTTAGTGCAAACCTTCCATCGGAGTGTTTTTTGCTCTTGCCCATGTGCGACTTCATTGAATTCCTAAATTCGAATTTTGTACTTCAAAACACCTTAAAATCGGGAAAGGTTTGATATGAAATCCTTGACAAGAGTACAAAAAAACTTGAACCACATTCGTTTACCTGTTCAATGTCTTCATATACATCTCCCATTTCGTCTAACCATTCTCGAGAAAACCGCAGAAAGATATAGTTCGTGATTATACGAGGATCCACTGATTGCAAAAGTTTGTTTATACTAAATTTACATCTTTGCAACCTCTTATTGAATTAGCAGTGCAACGAGGATTGCCCAGAGCTACCTTTTTATATAATCAACATCGTTTATGAGAATTTCTGGATCTGAAGCGAAGTAATGAGAAGCAGAAGGAGCTACAGCACGGAAGAATTGCTGCCAATTGATCTGTAATATAATACTATTCATAACTACCAACTTTATAGGAACCGAAAATTCTAAAACTCACAGTTGGCATAAATTCTTGCATATCGCTCAAATGAAAACCACGCACGGTTTTGGTGTCATTCACGTCTGCGTACATGATCTCCGCCATTCTCATCTCCAAATCAATGATTTCGTCTACATCTTTTTCAATTTTCGATATGTTGGTGGGCATTCCACCATCCTTTTGAATTTGCTCAATCTTAAACATCTCAAGATCGTGAAGACGCCTGTTGACTTTTTAGGAGAAAATCACCTGACTAATAAGAAAGTGTTTTAGCGATTCAATTTGGGTTCCATTCTTTTCTTCACCCAGGTAGTAGTAATATCCTCCGCCCAAGAGTTCATCTCGATCGAACTGTGAGATAGAACAGTTAACAGCAAGTAACCATGATTCTGCTGAGCCACATGAAATGGGTCTCGACAATGCTGGACCAGTTGAAGAATCGTTTTGCTCTAATTCTCATTTCGCCTGTGCAACTATGCACCATTAACAAATCGACTGCTTTCACCCCAGCT